TAATATACCGTGTCGTACCAGATTTTAGAGCAAGCTTATAATAAATAATTGCTGCTATGTTTCATACGGTGAGTGTTGAGAATTGGAGACACTTTTTACTGGAAATGAGGAATTCTATCTTAATCTAGGATATTTGTAGATCGCAGTATCCACTTACTATCGGGTGGACTCTGAAAGTGATCTCTTCTTGACAACCTATGCCTAGAGGGGATTGTACAAAAAAAGATGTAAATACAAAAATAAATATAGATATGTACAAATGATATCCAATAGGAATTATTTACCGAAAAGTGTACGAAAAGGTAATGTAATATAATTCGGCATGGTAGTTGAAGCGATCATGGTAGTTGAAGTGGACTGCGTTAAGTGAACTATCTACATTTACTAATGACTGTATGACTATTCTCTATATGAGATAAGTAAAAGGTGGGACAAGACTATACTGAATTCATTTAACTTTTTACGACGAACACCGGTCGTAAAAAGTTGATTCACTTAATGAATTCCACTTCAACTACCATGATCCCTTCAAATATCATGCTGAATTAACGTCCTTCCATCTTTCTATTCATCATCATCATCATCGTAAAAGCCGTCCACAAGTCCAGTGCTGAAAATAGGCTTCTCCCAAGTTATGCCACAAAGCCAACTGCATCCATCGACTTCCTACATATTTTCGCCCAACACTTCGCTTTCCTATTAAAAAAGAATCCCTGACTGAGTGACAAAATGTTGCTGAATAAATGTAGCATAAACGGGGTGCAACAGTACTCCAGATCTTTCCAATTAGCAGTTAACTGCCAGTTCTCACTACCCAACGCGCCTCGAACACACGTTCTGCGGGATGAAGCTACATTTACAATGTGGTTATGTAAACTATAAAAATTATATAAAACGCTTACAGTACAGCTACAGCATTACTTTGAATTTAATCAACGCAATATAAATTTTCGAAACATCTTAATTCTTCATTATCAAAATATGCTGTATAATTTTGTTTCGTTTAGTTATAATTCTGATCCGGAGTACGGTGCCACTCACGCTCCCATCGCGGTTGCATTCTGCAGGTTGCCGCCGTGTTTGGCATTATAGGTCAGCCGATTGGGACGGGATGTGATCTTTTTTTGCATCTTACCCTTGGAGACGAGGTTGCTTCTCGCCGGATGATCTTTTTTTTTATTGCTGATGAGCACCACGTGGAATGGAACTTTTTATTTTCTCTCTGTCGGAGGCAGAATCCAGTCACGGTTTGGTCGTTCCTTCAAAAATGCATTAGGCCATATGCCGGAGTGCTACCAGGCCTGGGGTCACACATTGACGTCACGGGATGCAAATACTAGCGCCCTTAAAAAAAGTATGTGGGTGCTGCCGACACTGTATTATGTCAATGTATATGTAATTCGCATGAAATACGATAACGACCAACGCCAGCGGAACGACAGTCGGTATATCTGTTAGCGAGAGTGTCTTTCTTCTTGCCTCTGATGTAAAAATAAATAAACTAATAAGTGTGTTAACAATTACTTCATTTTTCTCCCTACACAAGCCCTTAAGATACACTAGCCACCAAACATGCACAACTTCGGTGACCCCGTGTCAGGACTTGTGTAAGGGCGGAAGTAATATACCATTTAAGCACTTGCTTCATTATTTTCAATAATAATTGACAATCGCAGACATTTAATACACAAAATTGCATAACTTTTACGTATCAAAATCTACATAAACCATGATTTAAATCATCAAGTTCTCACCAAAAGTCCAAAAATATTAAATGTGTACTTTTTAATTATAACACCCTTAATCATTATGACGACGATAAAAGACAAAAAAAAATAATATAGCAGTTGGTAAAAATAGTTGTTAGGTTTTTAATTATTATTCTTTCTTTGTTAGTGTTTGTCCGGAACAGAAGTACCATAATTCTTCTAACGACCCTAATTAAATTCGGAAAGGTTTAATCTCAAAATTTTGTAAAAAAAACAACCCGCTAGAACCTAATAACAATATTATTAAGGTCTATAATCCTCATTTACGGAAGTTTCTAACTTGGCCTCAGTGTCATAATGAACTTTCAAAATTAAGTTGAAAATTTCGAAGTGCTTGAAGGCGTAGGCCAGTTGCGTAGAATTGTTTTATCAAACGCATTAAAGTAATATTCGTAAAAGTTATTTGTTCCATTATAGCAATCGTACAGATTTAAAAAATAATGCAGTTTTTTATATAAGTCAGTTCTTGACTAAAAACCCACCTGGTTGTAGGTGACGATGAAGCCCTAGATGGTACATAACGTCTTAGCGTAACCAAAGCCTATTCACTGTTGCCTTGAAGACACCCAGACTGCTATCGGACTGGAAAACAGACGCCGGTAAATAATAACACTCCATCGCTGAAATCATTATGAAAGTCAAACCAACCGTTTGGTTGAATGAATTTCTTTATCGAAAACAAAGGGAGATCTATAGACCGTCCGGATATCCGATAGTCGAAAACGGAAGGATTAAAATAATGTCATTTCTACGCACACTCGTATAGAAAATTTTATCAAATAGTTCGAGAATCTTTAGAGCTTTTTGCAGTCGTAAAATCTCTGTATATAAGGTTACTGTTCATATTCACTTTAATTACTTTATTTTCTGAGAAAATATTATATTCAATGATAAAATTATAATTTTCGTTAAAAATAATATCAGTTATAGAATAGAATTAAAAAAATTATCGATTTTAAAGTTCTTTTTTTGTAGAATAAGTGTGACAAATGAGCACATAGCTCACCTGGTGATAAGTGGATGCTGTGGATGGGATGACATTTATCATCGATTAAGAATCAAAACGCAGATGCATTGTCACCCTTGAGAACTAAGATGGAATACCTCTTTTGCAGTAAAAAAGGGTCTCCAGATTTCTACACTCACCATACGAAATACAACAGTATTCTATGCTGGTATTATGTGAGAGCGTGGTCCTTCCCCGCTAGAGCCGATCCATTCGTGCTACATCCATAATATAGCTGCGGCGTGGCTCTACCACGAATTAAAAAAGTTTGGAAACACCTCCTTTTCGAAAAAATAATCACATAATCGGCGAGACAGTCTCGTGTTTAAGGCCGTCTTGTAGGACTGTGTGTAGTTATGAAAACGGTACCTCATTCCCCGTAATTTTCGGGTGAAGAAAACTAAAGCGAGGAGTGTTTTAGGACACCAAGGTAACTCCAGCCTCGAAGATGTTTTGGCCTTGCGGGCACTAGCATTGCCGGGCGCGAATGCTTGAAATGTTCGATTAAAAAAATGATTTAAAAAAATAAAAAATGGGTTCTCAACATGAACTAAATGAACAGCTGCAGCCAACGTCAAATAAAGAAGGTTACGGACACGTTGTCAGCTCTGACGTCTAAAATGTACGAGTAAAACCTCACAGCCTATAATTATACTGGCCCTGTGCACCCTACAGACTGGAACACAGCAGTGCAGGTACTGCTATTTGACGGCAGATATAAATAAGAGGGTAGGACCTACACAGAAGGACACCTAGGCTAAAGGGAAGTCCTAGTGAACCTTATAACCCTGTACCCTAAAAAAACTTTCGAATGTTTCTTCATTTCCGTGTTTTTGTAAAAAGCACTAAAAATTTATGACAATTAAAAATAAATCATTTTATATGATTTTAATTATTCTATGGAGATTTTTAGTAATACAGTTTGTTTTATATATTATAAATGACTGTAAATTGGAATAAAGTGTCTTATCTGACGTTTTTTAACTTTAATTTGCATTGGTACAACTGGCGAAATAATTGACACTTTAGAGCTTTACAATTGAAAACAACTGTTTTTTGTTTCAAAAGGCCACTAGTGATACGGCTTTGTTATATTTGACATTTTTCAAGTAAAAAAACAAAACAACAGGCCCCCCCACAAAAAATGTCGAAGAAAAGAAAAAAAATTATTAAATTCTCCTTAACTTTTTTTACTGTCAGAAGTAATTATAATAAGTTCATACGTTTTTTTTTAATAATTAAATGAGGACACGAACGCAGTAATAGTTCATCTGATGGTAATTGCGTTAGGTAGTCCATGAATAGCTGCAGGAACCAACTTCAAATAAATAATGCTACAGAGGTGTTGTCACCTCCGAGGACTAAGACGGAATGTCTGTAATTATATTGGCTCATTGGCTCTCTATAACCTTCAGAGTGAGACAAGCAGTGTACTGCTGCTATTTGGCGGCAAATATTGGTAAGAGGGTGGTACCTACCCAGAGCGACTCCTTGACAAAACGGAGTTCTACGGAATTATATTATGGATTGAAACACGTACTTATGTGAAATAAGTTCATGTGTCAATAAAATGAACGAAGAATTACTTCACTTATGACCAAATACTCGAACGCTGCGCAATTTTAGGATGCCGTTAAAGTGATAGAGACAGCAGGAGACTTAACGGCATATTAAAATTGAGTAGCGTTTGAATATTTGGCTTTTAGTATTGTATTTTTAATATTTTCTAATGCTCTTTCTGGCTTACGCTTAAAGTAAGATATTTATACGTTCCATTGTATGTCTATTCTTATTTATAAAAGAGGTTTTGAGCACTAAGTCCACCGCACTGCTCTAGTGCGTCTTTGCGGACCTTAAATTAAAGGAGTCCGCACACTATTGGGAACGGAAAGGGATCGTAACCGTATCGCCTCGAGTCGTTCAGAATGGTTTGTATTTAACTCCCTACTGCAACGCACACTAATCGGAATCGTACCGTGATCGCCTCCCCTCAGAACAGGCTCCGAACTTGCAATTCCCGCGCTTACGGCTCCTTACGTCTCTCCGTCCCCGCGCTTACGTCTCTCCGTCCCCTGTCGCCTCCTGCGACTTGCGTGCTAAAGAGAAAGACGCCGCCATCCTGCCATTCGCAAGGCGTATTTCATTTGTGTTGCGCGTATGTTCGAATCTAACTTAAAATTTTAAATAAATTAAAATTTTAAGTTAGATTTAAACACAAAATAACGATGCAAAGGGAGAAACTTATTGAAGAAGTGAGAAAATATCCATATTTATATGACTTAAGTGACGCTAAATACAGTAATAGTATAAAAAAGGACGAGGCTTGGAAACAAATAAGTATTACTTTAAAGCAATCTGGTAAGTACCTACTCCTATTTAATTTTTTATCTAATGTTTTTCGCGTATGTAGGTATGTATGGGAAATAAAACAGTTGTGATTAATATAATTTATGTGATTATTATAATGTAAAATTTAACTGTAATATCCATTAAGAATTAACATTAATATTTAAAGCTAAAAGCTACAATTCTGCCATGGTACTCGTCCGGTAGAAGTTTGAAAATATGTTTTGAACATTTCACGTACATTAAAAGCTGTAGCCATATGGGCACCACTAATATTTGGTAATTGACTTAACAATCGGTCGTCGCCGAATTCAACTGTAATTTCATGTTCTGTTCTGTTCAGTTCCTGTAAATTCATCTCAATGTTATATGTCCTCATCATGTTGTGTAAAATGCAAGTTGTTAATACCACTTTATCTACAAACTTTGGATGCAATTTAATATTTTTGTTGTAAGTCGCAAATTTTTGATATAAAATTCCAAAAGCGTTTTCAACAACCCTTCTAGCTCGTGATAAGCGGTAATTATATTGCCGTTCAGGATCTGATAGTCTCCGTGTATTTGAGCGAGGATATGGTCTTAATAAATATGTCTTCAATGGAAATGCCTCGTCTCCCACAAATACATGTGGCATTGCATGATTAGTACCTGGTAATGGTTTGTCACATGGAATATTTAATGTGTTTCTTTCAAGTGCCTTTCCAAATTTAGATGACGAATAGATTCCGCCATCGCTGTTTTTTCCATAGGCTCCGACATCAACCGCTATGAATCTGTATTCAGGATCAACTATAGCTAACAAAACAATAGAAAAGGTTTTTTTATAGTTAAAAAACAACGATCCACTATTGGGAGGTGCAATTATATTTACATGTTTGCCGTCAATGGCGCCTATGCAATTCGGAAAGTTCCATTTATTTTTAAATCCTTCTTCGATTCCTTGCCATGCGGCTGTAGTTGGTTGAGGTATATGAATTGGCATTAATTTATTTATTATTGCATTGCACACATCTATTACTATCAAACGAATAGTTGAGTCTCCTAAACGGAAGCTCGATGATAAATTAGTAAATGTAGATCCAGTTATGAAGTACCTGCAACAATAAATGTATATTTATATAATACGTGTATATGTTTATGTGAATGTGTGTGTGTACGTACTCCCTTTCACACATACCTACATTATGTAACTACATGCGCTTGACATAATTAACCATGATTTATTTTATTTCAGAATCTGAATGCAAGAAAACTTGGTTAAATCTTAGAGAATCTCACCGACGAGCTATGAAGAAGCGTAAAACTAAGAGTGGTCAGGCAGCCCCGACGACGAAAAAGTGGACCTTTGAAGATGAAATGAGTTTTTTAGTACCTCATTACAAAGAAAGAAATACGATCTCTTCGGTTGATTATGATGACGATTCAGATGTTAGCTTGGGTAATGATGATTCACAGAACTCAATAAACATAATTCAGTCTCCAGAAAACTCACAACCGGAAACTTCTGCACTTTCGCTGCGTCCTAAGTCTTCTGCATCTTCAGTTACATCCAAAACTTCAAAAAAAAGTTGAAAGCAATTCAGCGTCACAAACTTTAATGAAAATTTATTAAATCGCAACGAAACCAAAAAAGAAGATGATAGAAACATTTTTTAACAGCATTGCGGCAACGGTTAAAAAATTTTCTGAATATAACCAAGCGGTTATAAAAAGTAAAATATATAACGCAGTTTCGGAAATGGAGTTAAAAGAAATCGCAGAGAAACAAAGCTATTACAGTTATCGCAACCCTTACATTCCCCAAAGAGAAGATGACATGCCTCGAGGTTATACCACTCTAAATAACATTAGCCACGAGATACAATCAACATCTGGCGCTTCAAACATTGATGATTTTAATATGTCAAACTTAGAAGAAAATGGCACGTCAAATGCTGACGATCTTAATACTTCAAACATTCTTTAATTTATACAATGATTGTATTTTTGTTGTAGCGCTATTTTTGTTAAATTGCCATAATTTTTTGATTTTATGATATCGTTTAGAATGATAAAAAAATATGTAATTTATGAGTATTTTTTTTACCTAAACTAAAAAAAAGTTGCAGTTACTAACCCATACGTTTTGAATATTGTAAAATAGTTGACATAATTTTGGTGTACAATAAAGTATATTCTATTCTATTCTATTCTATTCTTATGCACACACACAAAATATACACACACACACATCAGACATAACACGTACACCCTCCGTACACACCTGATCGCTAATGAGGGTTGCGTTCCAAAACAAATAATTTTATCGACAGAGGGTAAAAATTAATCCATCTCGAAGTTTCGGAACCGAGTTTTATTTTGTACACTACAGACGCCAGCACATCAACCTACTACAATCTGTCAAAATTCTTTAATAGATTTTCAACTTTATCGCTAAAGCATTAGGTTCAAGGTTGATTGGGAAAAGCTGGCGTCTGTACAAATATTTTTGTAGACCAGATTAAAAATTCCAAAAACAAATGCAATTTCTCACCTTAACGTTACAGCTAGTTTTTCTTCGGGCGATATTGTTTCTCTGAATGTTGTATTCTTCTTCCTTATACATTCATCTATAGACTGCAATATGTTATAAAAGAGAAATTTCGGCATATGAAAATAAATATAAAATTTCTGTTCATCATCCATCAAATGTTATTTTATAGTCCGAAATTCCCCTTCAGTACTCCTTGCTTTATTCATATTGTGTACCCAATATCTTTTCCTTTTTTTCTTGCTATTTTCTTTTTCCTCTTCATCAAGTACCATGGCTATGATAGCCAACTCACGTATTGTAAACCAAGACATAACCGTGCGCTACACTTAACGTTTGGATTCAAACTGATCTGGTGCCAACCAGGTCAGCCAGCGGGCGGCGAGGCGTAAGCGCGGTGTCGCCTAGCCGTAGCCGAGTTGACGTACAGGCGCTGCTGATACGCTTTCGTTACGTGCATACGGTAGGTTGACGCCTGGTTGACAGCGAGGTGAAAGGCGATACGGTTACGATCCCTTTCCGTTCCCATTAGTGTGCGGACTCCTATAATGGTGACATTTTATTCCTTCACCGTGGAAGACGTGGTGTTCAGTACATTAAATTACATTTAACAATATCAGTGGTGCCGGCGGGGATTAAACCCGGGTACTGCGTACGTACGTACTGTGAAATTTCAGTCGGTCAGCTAAAGTGTCAACCTTAGCTGTGTTTTGGATATTGTGTGTGATTGCTTTTATAGACTTAAGACAACACATCGAAAACGCTATCGCCGTTATGATCCGAGTGAATACATAATTTCTATAAAAACTTGAAGAAACGCCGTCATAAGGTCTAAAATTGCGTGGCGCCCGCAACGATTAAAAGAACTTAGAAATTGTCAGAATCTTAAAATATTTTTTTTAAAAATTATTGATTTAAGTTATCAAAATAATGAGCAAGTAAATTATGAATATTGGTTTTATGAATGTATTTGAGTGATTCCCAAGCATATAGATCAAATGATTTCGTTGTAATTTCAAATATAGTGATTTTTTAGAGGTGTTTTTGCAAATAATTATGATCGAGTCAAAATTATACAATCGTGTTTTTGAGCAATCAAATTCAAGATAGTCATGAATTTACCTATATCAAAATCCCACTTTCGTTAGTGGTGTCATAGTCCTATACTTTCGATTCGATGAAAGGAGGTGCATTTTTTCACGGTGTCGCCTTAAAGTTAAATATAAAACTAGAAATCCGCCCCGTCTTTAATTGTGAATTCTTCATCCCTTCAATCCCTTCTCGAATCAACTTAGTCACACTTACTAAATTTCATCAAAATTGGTCCAGCCATTTAAGAAGAGTTCAGTCACATACACACGGACAGAATAATTATAAAGGTACGTGAATACCCAAGTGTACCTTGTTAGGGGTTCCTTTTTGAGATATTAATACAGCCCAAATTGAATAACTCTTATTGGTTTATATCTTCTGACCAAAGTGTATGTACGTGCACAAAAACAAAACTAGTTTTAATAAAAAAAGATGCTAATTCGTTCTGTAAACACCAGAAATAAAAACAAGCAAGTCATAACAGATTCTCAATTCCAAAGAGACAGTATTTGATTCTCGATCATAATATAATATAAATAATATACAAAATATAAATCAGAAATTACTATCTACTATATAAATCTCACTATATAAATCAGATATTACTGTCTATCTATTACCAAGCTTATTATTATATAGATTAATACATGGTTGATAATAACCCCTGGGAATGAGGTGGTCGCTTCCAAGTTATTTCTTAATAAGTTTTGTAAGTAGTGTGTACAAGTCGTTTTTTTAATGTATAATGTTACTGTGGATGGAAAAGGTTTCGCTGCTTTTCTTGCTGTTTCTTCCCATGACAAGTTTTTTACGAACTAGTGGTAAACGTGAAAAGCGACTTTTTATAACAATTACTTGTAATCTATATTGAATATAATATTATTCTATTCTATTCTATTCTAATTCTTCTGTTACCTATCAGAAAGATGCTGCTGCCCATCTTCTGCCTTAGTTTCCCTCTGTCGCCTCTTACGATACCCACAGCAACATATGGTGTAATGGATATTCTTAACCACCACTACACTGTACAGCAGATTATACTATGTAGTCCGATACTTACTCGTCAGTATGTTAAGGTGTGGGTGGGGTGGCCCTTCCTATTTTTTATTAGGAAAATTGGCATAATGTAGATATATGTACTTGTAGCGGCGCTGTCGTCGCGCCACAAGCGAAATACACCGAAGCTTAAATCACGCTATCAACATTCCGAATTATAGACAGTATATATAGAACTTCTCCGAACTATCACTCGGAGTGCTGGCCGCTCCCCGGGCAGAACACCTTGCCCGGCGGGAGATCTCCTCTTTTCCTACCACGGCCACGGTGGTGACCCCGACGTGATTTGAACACACAACCAAACAACCTTCGGAGACTTCAAGCTTCATCATCGTCATAGAATACCCCACCCATTCGCTCCCGAGCAGATATAAACTGCAGTCTTCATATCCTGCAAGCCATCTAGCTTCACAAGGTTCATCGCAGCACTGGAATAATAATGCTTCCTGTTCCTTCAAGCTACTCTCTGCGCTATACAGTGTTCGGCACGGCTCTGAGCCTTACTGCTCGCCTCTGCTTCACGGCACTCTCGCAGATTACTTGCCTTCTTCTCGACTCACCGCAGACTACAAGGCAATCTCCTGGCACTTGCACATTCGTCGGCAACGAGGCTACACTCCTCCGAGGCAGACCTCCGGTCTGAGCAGGGGGGTGATGTAGCGGCGCTGTCGTCGCGCCACAAGCGAAATACACCGAAGCTTAAATCACGCTATCAACATTCCGAATCATAGACAGTATATATAGAACTTCTCCGAACTATCACTCGGAGTGCTGGCCGCTCCCCGGGCAGAACACCTTGCCCGGCGAGAGATCTCCCCTTTTCCTACCACGGCCACATACTGATGACGTGTCACAGAGTGCCTTTGATGACGTACGTGGTGTCTGTTTTGTTTTTATTACGAGTATGATCTCTCCTGTGTGAAGAGTAATAATGTTTTGTATTTATGATTGTTAATTAATAGGTAAAGGAAAATTGAAATGCGGCTACGTCATATTTTGCGTTTTTCTAGTTTTGTTTCATTCTCCTATATTTATTTTACTATGATTCTATTAGTTCTTATTAGATAAACCTTTTTATTGTATACTTTAAATCGTTATCTAATAGCACTTGTACAAATTCTTAACCATGATGCATTGAAGAAATATGTAAGCTTACTTACGTACTAGAACAGCTATTTCAAACAAATATGTGCGCTACTCTGTGTTCGGGCGATTGGTTTTTTATCACAGAATAAACATAGGTAGAATGATAAGTAGGTAATAGTAGATTGTATTGTTGAATAGGTAAATTATATCGAGATTTTTTTTAAATGATTCATTTATTTTGTTTATTATATTTGCTTATTTAATATAATATTACATAATATTATATTACAATTAAATTTTAATGATATTTTTATCTCAATATTATAAAAGGTATCTATGTCAAATATAATAAAACATACTAAATGTATGTATAACAAAACTTATTAATATAACATTTAAGTTACAAATATTATTATTTAAATTAGAATAAGAGTCGTTCATAAATGTTGGACACGCGAGAGTTAAAAATGGACGAATTTATTCCACTTTGAAAAGAAGAATGAAAAATTTAGCCTAATTACGATTACTTATATATGTTTCTAAAAAAAAACACAGAAATGTCGCATCTGAACAAATTAATTTTATAATCTATTTTCCATGACGCGAGATGGCGTCTTAGGAATAATTTGTTTTATTATAAATATATAATATTTTTTATTTATTAAGTATCTTATTAACCGATGAAAAGTAATTCCTGTGTTTTTACTGACATTTCTTGAATTATTTGTGCAATATCTAAGTACACACGACGGCATATTTTTATCGAGAGAAATTTTTATATCAACACAACACGTAAAAACTTTACAAGCGCCTAGCGAGTGACTGATTAAAGTGCGGTGTAAGCACCGCAGTTGAATGGAACAGAGTAACTGAGTGCAGTGTCGTCTCTAGTACGTAGTACATAATAGCTCAATGCCATGATGTGTACTATCCATTGTTTGCGTGTACATAATATATTGTTAAATAAACAAATATATGACGTCGTTAATACAAAGCACCGATGAAAGGGAAGTCGCTTTAATAAACGTAATATATCATTACATATATAATATATCAGATCTAAATGACCGGCTATTAGTAAAGATTACGTAATGAATATAATTAAAGTGTATCACATATTATATAAATTATCAGTGCACTCGCGTGACTGCCAATTAAAAATACCCAATATTTGTCATTATTTGCAACAAATAATATATTTT